GTTGTAGTTGTAGCAGTAGCAGTAGCAGTAGCGGTAGCAGTAGCAGCAGCGCAGTAGTAGCACCACAACCACCACCACCACCACCACCACCACCACCACCACCACCACCACCACCCCTGCTGCTGCACATGCGGCAAATTGCGGCAATTGCACGACTGCCTCCGTATGTACTACTGTTACTAGTGGCGACGCGGCCACTACTACCACACCCATGGATACAACTATGTTTGAAATGCGTCCCGATTCGACGCAAATAATAGCTGAGGTTCCGCGCCTCTTCGATGCAGCGCGTAGCCCGAGTGGCAATCACCACACCCCCCACAGCGAGCCTGATCTTTACGGGCAACGGCAAGTGAAGCGTTTGTTAGGGCTTCCAGCTTCCTGCACTCTGCACCCAAGGCCCAAACCCGAAACTCCAATTTGCTTTGGGCTCTCAGCACCCAAACCCCAACCCCGGAACCCCTAAACCTCTAGACCCTTAAGGCCTAAACCTTAAAATCATCGTATGCCCTACAGCCTGTTGTGATTTACAGTCGAGGGCTGCTCTGATCTGGGATGTTTCCAGCAGGCCTACTATACCTAACAGGGTTTAGGGCTTAGGGATTCAATTAAGGTTTAGGGGTTTAGGGTTTAGGGTTTGGGGTTTGGGGTTTGGGGTTTAGGGCTTCAATTAGGGTTTAGGGTTTTGGCTATAGGGAACAGTATCCATTGTAGTTCATGTCTAGGGGCCCTTATAGGATCCAAAGTATGAAATTCGGTAAACTTAAGACAAGGAACTACAATGGAGACTAGAGGTATGGACCAGGTGCTGAGATCTAAAGCCCTAATTCACACCCAGACCCCTCAGGTTTAGGGGTGCATAGGGCTCAGGGCTTAAGAGCCCTCAACCCTTTACAGTTCAAACCCTCAGAGCTAAACGGTAGACCCTTAACCCCGAAACCCCCGCCCACCACCACCCAAGACATCAATAGGGTCTAGGGCTTAGGGTTTCAATTCGGGTTTAGGGTTTAGGGTTCAGGTTCACAAACCTTCAACAGCCGCTCTCGTCCAAAAAGCTCCATGTGAAATCGACAACCCTAAACTACCCCCAGGAGCCCAGCTACGTAAAGAGAGGGTTACTGGCCCTTCAAGCCTCTATACCTTACAGCGCCCAGTAACTTACCCAAAGGGTCCAAGTACCGAAAAATCATACTATACTCTGCCAAAAATGAACCTACACAATTACTATCCGCAACGACAGCACCTATTTAATAGGTTCTTTGGACCCTTAGGATTACTAGACTATATGGGTAAATTTCCCTAGCGTTTCTTTGAAAGGGCCTTGAGCTTGATCTAGCGCGTGCTGACCTAAAGAAAGCCTGATCCCTAAACCCTAAACCCTAAACCGCGATCTTTCAGACTCGTTTGGGGTTTAGCGATAAGGGTTTAATTAGGGAAGGAAGGATCCAGGATAGGTAGACTCGGGATCTGCGATACTACCAACTACATACTATCAATATCGGAAACCACTCTACCCATAGGCCCTAAAGTAGTTCCTTTTTGGGGTTCATATATAGAATCCTATAAGATAACCTAAGAAAGGAACTACTATGGGGCCTATGGGTAAACCCCGAACTCTCTAGACGTTACTTGCGTTGTATGCTCTCAGTTCTGCAAAGACGCTCGATCCTTCGTGTTTGGGCCCTGGCCGCGCGGCGTGGTATTGGCCCTTGGCCGTGCGTACGGTCCAGAGACCGGCTCTTTTTGGAGCGGCCTCCTGGTGGAGTTGCCCCCTAAGCCTAAACCCTTCGGGGTCGCAGGGCTTTGAGTTGAGAGCTTTTGTTGAGCTCACTTCTCCGACTGCTCCATGCTTGTAGAGTTTAGGATTGTTAGGGCTTACAGGGGCAATAAGATATTTCCGGTTTTGTGACGGCTTAGATGAATTTAAAGCCGCACGCGGGACGTCAAGTCCTTAAATCTACTCTCTTCAACCTCACTTGGGGACTTCCAGCGTTTTGCGGTTCTGGGTAGCCTACGATAACCCCAAACACGAATAACCGCATTGAGTAACCTTAACACCTATCTAAGAAGAGTCATTATCCTCATCAGTATTATTATGGGAAGGGCATAAGCGGTGGCGTGGCAGTCAGGCTTTGTAATGTGCTTGGGCACCTTAAATACTCATAAGCCTCTAAACCCTAAACCCTAAACCCTAAACCCTAAACCCTAAACCTCTAAACCCTAAACATAGAGCCAGCCTGAGCTGAGAGGCCGTGCTCCCTCCCTCTGTAGGGTTTAGGGTTTAGGACTCTGGGCAAGAGCAAGCAGGTTGAGTCATTGAGGGGCCTAAACCTCAGAAGGCATAGGGCCCACTTCAAGGCCTAGGAGACTTAGTAACTAGGTTATAAGTAGAGTTATAAGAGCCCTAAATGGAGTTACCCCAAATTACGAGCCTACTTTTAACCGACTTACTAAGTCCCCTGGGCCTCTAAGCATATGACTAGAGTAGGGTTCCTGGATTTGTAGGGCTCAAGGCGGCTGTGGTGGGGTAAAGTTATAGTAGGGGGACGAAAAGGCTTCTATGGTATAGGGGCCTTAAAATTAGACTAGGTGACTAGCGCTTTGGAAATACTTACAAATCATGAAAAGTATTGGTAAAGATTTAGGCTCCAAAAACAGGGGATTTGCAGTGCAGCGAATTTTGGTGTCAGGCCTTCAATGTTCACGGCTTAGGGCTTGACGTTCAGCATAAGAGCGCACTTTGAAATCGTCCTAAACGGCAACTCTTAACCCCTAAACCCCGGAATCCGTAATCGCCCTAAACCGTATATTTCTTAACCCTTAACCCCTAAACACCGGAATCCTAAGCCCCTACCTGGGCATCCAAAACCCTGCCGCTTTATGGGCTCCACCCTCTAATTAAGAGACATAACCTACTATTCTGTAGGGTTTGGGGTCACAGGTCCTACACCCTAAACCCTAAACCCTTACACCCCCCTGCTGTCCTTCTGAAGGCCACGTCGGCCCTGCATCCGGCAGAGCTTGGTACCGGACCCGAGGCCTCCACTCGCTGCTTCGGGTTTCTGGTTTTGTTTTTGGTTTTGGTTTTGGGTTTAGGGTTTAGGGTTTAGGGTTTAAGCGCCAATCTTGGGGGTGTGGGATTTATAGGATTTAGGGTTTAGAGTTTCGGATTCAGTCGGGTTTTGATGGGCTTCGCGTTGACGCAGGTGGGAGATGTTGACCTATGAGTAGGAAGAGCACTGCAAGATTCGTCGGAAGATGTCGGAAGTTTGACGAAAAGCGTGTAGTCTCAGCCTCTAGGTTCTCGGGTTTAGGGGGTTTACGGCCAAGTTTAGGGTAGGCCCCTGTAACTCAACCATTATCTTCGAACGGAGCTCTCTTAGAATTCCGATACTACAACTGTAGAGAAACCCCTGAAATACCCTTATAGAACCCATGTAAAGCCCTGTAAGGGGACTCTATTTCTAGCTATTCCGGCAGCGCCGAAAAGGGGCTCGACTCAAGAACGCAGAGTGCAGCCGGGGGATCGAAAAATAGGAAGCCCAGACCATTCCAAGGCCATCTGAAGGTCGTAGGGCTTAGGTTTCAGGGAAGTTTAGGGCCTAAACTTCACTGAAACCTAAACCCTAAAAAGTGTAGGGTTCAGGGCAGTTTAAGTTTAAGGTTTTGGGTGTAGAGTTTAGTTAGGGTTTAGCGCTCTGGATCTACACCCTCCTGGCCCATGACAGGGAGGAAGCCTCTGGCAGCTGGTGTGCCATGGCAATCAGGCACCTTGCTTCCATGAAGGTCCTAAACTACCCTAAGGCCCTAAAGTAGTTCCTTTTTGGGGTTCATATTTAGAATCCTATAAGGTAATCCCAAAAAGGAACTACTATGGGGTCTATGGATATATCAACTCTAAACCTTTCAACTCTAAAGTGCTGAAACCCACTTGGAGGCCCAGGGGACTTAGGAACTAGGTTATAAGTAGGGCTTTAAGTGCCCTAAATGGAGTTGCCCCAATTATAACCCTACTTATAACCGACTTACTTAAACCCCTCTAAGTAAACTAATTCGGATGTAAGTTTTAGGGTTTTACCGCTTTGGGAGGTCGGGCGAAGGACAAGACCAAGGCAGAAGCGAAGCTATGGGTCCGGGCTTGGCTTCGGATGATGCTGACAGATACCCAGATGTTCCAAAATCCGAATATACCCGGAATCATAGTAAGCATCCTACTAAAACTTAAGATACATACCTCAATTCAGGGATGTTGGAAGATCTGGATGAAGTTCAGCCCTAAACCTGTTCGGGGTTAAGGGCCAATGCAAGCCCCGGATGTTGTGATTGTTAGACCCTCCAACCTAAACCCTAAACCCTCAGCTTACGGTTTAGGGTTTAGAGTTTAGGGTAAACCTAAACCCTGACCCTCAACCCCGAACCCTAAACCCGCAACCCACAACGCCCTAAACCCCAAACCGCCAGTAATGCGGATCCTACATCCTTCCTGGACCCGGCTGGGAAGCCTAAAAGCCTAAGAAAGGGGCCTTAACAAGCATTAGGATCTAGGGCTTAGGATTTTGGGGCTTCTTCTTCTTACTATTACTATTATTATTATTGTTGCTGCTATGAGTATTAGTCTATTTCTATTTACTGCTCTTAACAATCAAAGTATACTTTACCCGCGTGAGTATTGATCATCTCAGGAAAGCTTAGCCTTCGAGGCGTAAGACTGAACTTCGCGCCGCCAACACGAGACCCCACTTCGTATCATGGGTTTATGGGTTTAGGGATTATGACTTAGGGCCATTTTTTGGGGTTTAGGTTTAGGGATTATGACTTAGGGCCATTTTTGGGGGTTTAGGTTTAGGGACTATGATTTAGGCGGGCTGCTTTGTAAAAATTAAGTCAATGGGCCCTCTTTCTGGGTTTGGGGTTCAGGGTTTAGGGATTAAGATTTGGGGTTGGGCGTTATAGTCAATGGGCCCTCTTAGGGTTTAAGGATCTGCAGCAAGCTCTGACCTTCAGGCGTGAAGAGTTTGGGGCGTAAAGGCCTGTGTAATGATTACCTGGACCCTTCAGAAACCTAAATCCCTAAACCCCAAACCCAAACCCCCAAACCCTAAATTCAGAAACCTACATTTAAAGGGGCTCCTTCTTATAGCTTCCTTCCTGAAAAGGGAGCCTATTTGGGTAGATCCCGTCCCGTTTGGGGTCCTTCTCATAAAGGTGCCGTACTATTTTGGGAACCTAGCAAGGGACCCTAATTTAGCGAACTACCCGAACGGCTTAACAAACCCTGAAGCCCTTCACCTAAAGCCCGACTGCAAAGCCCGAAGACCAAACAAAGTCCCTGCCTGAGGAATTCTTGCAAACCCAATTATGAGAAACCCGATCTACGACTGTATTTAAAAGCCTCCAAATAACTTCTTAAGCCTTCTCCGAAGAAACAAAAGAGCCCTTAAGGCCCTACAAAACCCTATTTGAGACATCGCACCGAGACCACTGCAGGCCGTGCCGCAGTGGCCGCCGGCGTGGGCGAGCTCGGAACGGACTGCCAGCTCGGGAGTCATAGGGTTGTGGCGGGTTCAGTGTTCCTTTAAAGAGTTCCTCTATTTAAGGGCTCTGTAGGGGATCGATAGGATATTTCGGGGTTTGGAGTTTAGGGGATAGGCTTTAGGATTGAAGGGTTTAGCGCTGAGGGCTGAGGCTTTGAGATTCAGGGTTCTGGATGTCCTAGGATTGACGATTTCGGGTGTACCTATACAAAATCATACCCGGATCTGCTATATATATATATATATACAGGTAGGAACCCTAAAATCGGAGTAGGGTATGACCTTATAGGTATAGGTGTGGTTTCCCTAAACCCTAAACCCTAAACAGCTTAGGGTGTATGGCTTGCGGTTCAGGCGTTGCCTCTTTGGGGCCCAGGCTCCGTGACACTCCCTGCGCCCATCGCGAGGACTGAACCGAGGGAGAAGCTCAAGCCTTCGAGACGAAAGCCTGGAGCCTGGTAGGAGTAGTAGTAGTAGTAGTAGTAGTAGTAGTAGTAGTAGTAGTAGTAGTAGTAGTAGTAGTAATACTAGTACTTGTACTAGTACTAGTAGGAGTAGTAGGAGTAGTGGGAGTAGTAGGAGTAGTAGGAGTCGTAGGAGCCGCAGTAGCAGCAGCAGGAACAGGAGCAGCAGTCGTCGTCGTCATCATCGTCATGCAGTACTGGCCGGAGGCGGAACAGGAGGAGGAGGAGGATGCGAAAGGCTGTGATGAGTAAGAAACGAAGATCTGGATACTGCATGGCTTTTGTCCATCGTTGCAAAAATCAGGGGTTTAGGGTTCATAGATTCCCCGGAAGAGAGGCTTCGGAGTCACCACTGAAGTTAAGGTGTCGGGGCTGGTGCGATTATCCCCTGCGCCCAAACCCTAAACCCTATAGGCGGCTATGTAGCCTGCAAGGAAACCTGAAACAGCCCCGGACCTCCATGAGCCAAAGAAGCTCACGCCGCAAGGGCAGTGATAGCAGCTGTATGGCCTGACTGCCGGTATAAGGGTTCAGGGTTTAGGGCTTAGGGCTGTCTGTGGGAATTCGAAAGGCTGTCGGAAGAAACTAAAGCCCGAACCCGACGCCCTGAACCGTCGCGCTGTGTGGGTCGATTTTGGAGCATTCGGTTTTCCTGGTGTTTAGATGTGGAGCAGGGGACCCTACTTATCCCTAATTGCTGTGTGCTACTATTTACCACTTAGACCATGACAAACCTGATGCCATAAACCCGAAACTCAACCACACAAACCCTCCCCATTCCGGAAACCCCTAAACCCTAACCCTAAACCCTAAACCCTAAACCGATGATGATTCCAACAGGGTTGCGGCTCGGAGGCATTTACGAACCAACCACACCCCAAGGAACCTGAATCCCTGAGACACGGATCGCTCATGGCCCTCCATCATAACACCGCTACGGTTTAAGGTTTAGGGTTTAGGGTTTAGGGTTTAGGGTTTAGGGTTTAGGGCCCTCAACGCGTGCAGGGTTTCAACCGTGACAATCCTCAAGCCGGCACACTAGGTCCTGGCTTGGAAGCCCTGTAAGCCCCGACCCATAACCCCTATATCTTAAACCCGCGCAGCCCTTCGCGTCAAACCCTGAAACCCGGCCCAAAATCTTGAAATTCCTGAAGCCCTATAGGCCCAAAAAGCCCAGAATCTTGCAAATTCCTTTCCATAAATAAATTCCTGAAGCCCTATCGGCCCTGTAAGCCCTAAACCCTCTTATAAGCCCTACAAGCCCTAAACCCTCTTATAAGAAACCCTCTTATAAGCCCTATAAGCCCTAAACCCTCTTATAAGAAACCCTTTTATACGCCCTATGAGCCCTATACGAAGCACGACGTCAACTCAACCGCTGCGTTGCGCCTCTCGGCGATGGTTGGGCTGTGCCCGAGCTAAGGCCTCGAAACTTGACGCGACTTTGTGGGTCCCTTTGGGGTACAGGGTTTAGGGTTAGGGTTTAGGATGTAGGGTTTAGGGTTTAGGCTTTTGGGTTTAGGATTGAAGGCTTAGGGTTTAGGATTTAGGGTTCGGGGTTTAGGACTTAGGATTTAGGACTTAGGATTTTGGGGCTTTGTGGGGCCAGAGGGCGTTAGGATTTATTTCGGGTTCAGGGTCTTGGGTGTGGGTTTTACGGCTTTTAGGGCTTTTCGGGGGGCTGAGGGCTTTACGGTTTAGGATTGAGGGTTTACGGGTTTATAAGGTTTAGGATTTAGGCTGTCATGCACAGGGTTCAGGCGGATAGGTGTTGCCGGGTGTTGTGGCCCAAAGGGGTGTCGATGCATCCGTTCTTCTGTCGGTTCCCCAAGACATTATCGACATTTGAAGGCGAGTCGGCGTCTACAAGGCTGTGCAGTCTTAAGGAGGGCCTTAATGCAGCCAGGGTTTTTGGCAGCTCTCCCTAAACCCTAAACCCT